TGCAATTCTGGTATGCTACGACAGAGGACTTTTCTGTATTCCCATTTTCCTCACTCGTGTGTACCTGGTGCTTCCGTGTGTGTATGTATGTGTCTGGTCCACACACACGTGTATTGCTCCCTCTAGTGGTCAATGTGATGTTACATGGGTTTATGTCCAGCATAAACCCCTGCAGTTTAAATCAGCATGGAGAGAGCTTGTGGCTGGGAAGGAGAGGGGGGGGGAGTGCTGGCAACCCGAGGGTGAAATTGTCCCCTTCTTCCTCTTCTATCAGCAGAGCTCAGCTCATGTGAGAGGCCAGAGGCAGGAATTTCACCCCCTTCCCCCTGCTCACCACAGTCACCCCCAACGGGTACAGAGAATCTGAGAATAAACTTTCCTGGGGTTTGAAATGGTTGCTGGAGAAAGGGGGAAAGACGGGAAGATCGTCTACGGTCCGTGCCTTCTACTGACGGATTGCGGTATCTAACCCACTAAGAGTAACCCTGCTCCTGTCAACCCATTTGATGAATAGTGGTAGGGTAATCCATTTTTTTTCCCCACAGGCTTTTTCCTGGTATGGTTCTTCTAGGAGAAACGGAACATGCTGTCAACTTCCTAGGATCCCATACGTATCTGTTCACATTTCGTCTCTCGTGGTCAGGGTTAACACAAACATCACTAGCCAGGTTCGTTTTACTCTCGTTCTGGGTGAAGGTTTTATATAAACTAAAGAGATCCTGGTTTCAAGAGTCTGACAATCCCTGAGTGGAACTGGGGAGAAATTTCACGGGTCGAGGAGAGAATGCAGAAGGGCTGGTGTTCTGCTGTAAAAGAGAAACCATGCTTTCTTTACAAACTTCCTAAAGTAAATGAACTTTCTTTAGTATTCATTTTTACTACGTCCTTACAATAGGGATTAAATCTGAGAATTAGTAGTACCAGGGCTATTTTTGGGCAGGAACGCACAGGAACGGAGTTCCGGCTGGCTCCTGAGTTGGCCACGCGCAGCAGGAACTCATTAGCATAATAGGCCACACCCAACAGCAGAAACTCGTTAGGATTGGCTACATTAGGGGTGTGTGGCCTAACATGCAAAGGAGTTCCTGCTACAAAAAAGCCCTGGGTTTTGACAACAAACAAGGTAAACAGAATAACAAGCAAAAGGTGGGTGTGGCTGGATGAGCACACTTTTGGTAACATGGGGGTGCGGCCTAATGGGCTAATGAGCTGGCCTGACAGGGGTGTGGCCTATTATGCTAATGAGTTCCTGCTGGGCTTTTTCTACAAAAAGAGCCCTGATACCCTTTCAGTAACAATTTGTTTGGGATATGAGCATAGCTCAAGAATCAGTTACCGAAGGAGAAAAAGGCATCAAATGAACAAAGTTTGAGTCCGGTGGCATCTTTGAGACCAACCAAGTTTTATTCAAAGTATAAGCTTTCGTGTGCAAGCACACGAAAGCTTATACTTTGAATAAAACTTGGTTGGTCTCAAAATCAAACTTTGTTCTGTTGTTTCAGACCAACACGGCTACCCCACCTGAATCAGGCATCAAATGAGTTTAACTTGGATCCAGAAACTATCTGAATGCTGGTGGGCTTAGCCAGGGGGCTTTAATGGACTGAGTCGGTAACGAGTTCTAGGATGCAAGGGACCTGCCCCCTACACCAGTTAAAAGAAAAGAGCCAATACTTTAAACGAACCTTCCCCATCTCTGGCTTTTTGCTAGACGCTTTGGTTCTCAGTACCACGCACATTGCCGAACCATTCAAAGCAGCACGTTTTGTTATTTACACCGGTAACAGATAATGTTCTATGTAACAGAACCCCCTGCTCTTTAAGTAATCCCACGCATGCAGAGTAAAACGGGCCCTACGCAGATCTTCAGGTCGTTTCTTCTCTGCTTTGCAGTGCGCACACAACCACCTGCCTCTACGCCGAGGTAAGACACCCATATCGATCTGGTTACTCGGCACAGCTGCCCTGCCATCTAACCTCCACACAGAGGCCTGTAGGACCATGAAGGGCCACACGGGACAGGAGGCAGCCCGACTCATTCTGTCTGTAAAGCTAAGCTTGCTACCTGACATCCCTGTATCTGTAATTGTTTCAAGAATTGTTTGTTCCCCCCAACCCCCTGCAAAGAAGTCAACTGAATTAAAGAGATGTACAGTGAAGAATTCTCCATTGTTCCCCTTACGAAACAAAAGGGTGACAGCCGACCAGCCAAAGGTCCTCCAGGGACGATTCCCACAAAGTGTCCAAGTAGGTAGGTTCATCAGAGTGGGTCTTTGCCCTTCTCATCTTTCTAAGGTGCTCTCAAACAGAAAGAAGTGTTTGGTAGAACGGTGTTGACCCAAAAAGGTGGTAGGTCTGGTTGAAGCTTTTGTCCAGCATGTCCGTGCCCACGTTCATATCCGGGGGTCAACACCAAGTGCCTCAGGTTTTCTTTGGAGTCAGAAGACAGTTGCTTGGAGGAATAAGGGGGCTGAAGAAAGACAGTCTTGTATGAATGGCTGGTCTTAGATAAGAATGGCAAATTCACACCGCGGAGTTGTAAATATAAATGCCAACGCTTGGCCTAATTCTTCCTATGGTTGGTTTCAGTTACCACAGGTCTTGTGATCGGTTTTTCCTCTTCTTTTCCCCCCGTCTTGATTTTCGTGATTTTATTTAAAAAGGCAGTTCAGAAGATTTACACTGTACGTAACCGAGAAGAGAACAACACCAGCACTTATGGTTCTTTCCAGTTACGTTTTAACGCTGGCGTAGTACTCACACGGAAGTAAACTAAGGTCTATGAAACCTAAAGGGAAATGAAGGGGAAAAAAAGGAGAATGAATTTTAAATAATCTGCGGGTTTTTCACATATACGGACACAATCAGAGATGTGGCCGAATAAGACCAACAAAAGCTATGGTCCTCGTAGCGCTTTCTTAGTATCCATGGAAACAATAGCTGTGGACTCCACAAAACCCAATGAGGTTATAGTTCCGGTACAAATATTACCCAGTGAAGTCACAACAGGCCTGTGGTTTGGACTATGGGCCACAAGAATATGACTCCATCCTGCATTCCTGTGAATTTCTTGTGCTGCTCACAGAAATATGAGACCCAGATGGTATAGGCATGCACAGAGAAGCCAACAGGGCAACAGGGTTGCTTCATGTGATACAACAGAGGTGCATCACCTGAGGGGGAAACGTGATTTTTCCTCACAACTGGAATCTACATTTCCCCCCACAGGAAGATACATGACTTCCTTTTTTTGCCTGTTATGACTTGTGGGTGAAAGGAATTGCATGTGCTGGTGAGATCCATAGAGTGCTCTGGAATTTTTTTTTGAAAAGGTGGGCCTGATTCCACAGTTCACGATGGATCCTTGCACTTGAAACACTCACTAAAAAGCTGATGACCAAACAGCAATGAAAGGCAAGAAAACTGAGAAGGGATTACCTATTAAGTCATAATTCATATCAGGCAGGACAGGGGAGAAGAAGAGCTTCCATAAGAACATAAGAACATAAGAGATGCCAATGTTGGATCAGGCCAAAGGCCCATCCAGTCCAACACTCTGTATCCCACAGTCGGGAGAAAAAGAGCTTCCATACCCTGTTCCTGGCAAGAGGGAAGTTTACACCGTGATGTCCAAAGTCAGACTGATTTACCCAGATTACCCAAATGCCATGAATTCCAATTATAACAATCCATTACAGTCATTTCTGGGTAAATCCACACAATTCGCATGGAGGTTGTACTGCAACATGGCAAAAAATATTTTGTATCTCAGTCAGGCGGAAGAGCCCTTGTTAACTTTCCAAGGAATCATTTTATCAGCCACACTAGAAAAGCAACACAGGCACCTATTACTGTGCATGGAAGTCATTACCATAGTAACACAAAGAGCTCATTTTGTTCTTCATGATTGATTCATAATAGTGTTTGAAAGGACTGCCTTTTTGAAATGTTGCGTGCTTTTAACGCGGGTCTCCATGAAGAAACAATCAAAACAACTGATTGTTTCCGAAGCTGATCAGCCAGCCGTCTTGATGTCACAACTGTAATAAAAATTGGGTTCAAAAATGAAACACGAGCCCATTCTGCACTGACCGCTTACTCCAGAGAATCCAAGCAGTGAAGCCTTTAAGCTTGACTTCGGATGTGTTTGACTGCCGCTCACACCATTCTTTTTTTCTCCGATGTATTCCGTGCATTTATTTTGCATTTATTCTGCACCGACAACCCAAAACTGCAGTTTTTCTTAATTGGGGTGGGAACGTCAACTTGTGACATGGGTGGCGTCCAATGGTTTTTAAAAAATTTAAAACAAGGAGGTGCCGTTGCAATGCCAGGCTTCTGGAGACTGCCAAAATGGTTCTTCCCCCAAAATTTCTCCACTGAAGCATTAAACGGAAAAATGTTTTCAAAGCCTTCCCATCCCAGTGTCTCTCTGTCTTTGCATGTAACGCCAATTTCATACCGTGCTGACGATCCCCCCCTTATTTTTGCTTGTTTGTCCATCCCCGTTCCACCCCTCGCTCCTCTGTGCCCGTTGTCGCCTCTTGCCACCAACTCAAGAGGCTTCTTAGGCACCGGTATTGCCTTTGTGCCCTGGCAAGGTAGCCACTGCCGCTGTGCCCCGGTGAGACAGTGACTGGAGGGGTAGCAGGTCCCGGCGGGAGCCCGAGCAGAGGTTCACCAAGGGCACCCGTAGGCAGAGGGCCCGGGCAGGTGGTGGGGGCGACCAACAAGAGAGCAGCTGCTGAGGTTCCCAAGCAGAAAACTGCCCCTTTCCCTTGGACCCTTTCCTCAGGTGACAGTATGGACATGATGCAGATCCCTTAGAAGCTGCGGCTTCCCAGTTGGGTGGGAAAGAGGTGCCAGGGGACTGGAGCTCCTGGGTGGCTCCCATGAACGCTGGGTGGGGCTTGGCTTTTGCCCCTTTACTCCCACGTGAGGCACTCAGGGCAGTCTGTTTCTTAGCAAGGGGAAGCAGCAGCAGGAGGAGTGAGGCTGCATCAGGAGGCACCACCGCTGCCAGCCCCTGTGAAGCTCACTTTTCTTTTTGCCAAGATGTAGTGGATTCTCTGTTTGTGTTATCAGCAACAGCGAAAAATGGAAACACTGTGGCTGATAACATTGCTCGCTACAGCCAGAGAAGCTGCTTGCTTCTGGAGACTGCCAAAATGTCCCCACCCCCAACATCGTTCACTGCAGCATTAAAGGAAAAAACGATTCAAAAGCTCTAGGCTTCCCATCCCAGTGTCTGTATCTCTTTACATGTCTTGTCAATTTCATTCCATGCTGAGATACCCCCCACCTTTATCTGGTTTGCATGCAGCACTGAAATCCTTTTTGTTTTTTGCACTGGAGAGGCTTCTGTTTGCCTGCTCTCCATTTCTCCTTTTAAGTCCATACCAGCAGGGAACTAAATCTTGCATAGCTCCTAGCAAACTTTCCCCCATCATTTTAGAAGAAGAAGAGGAGGAGGAGGAGATCGGATTTATACCCCGCCCTTCACTCGGAGTCTCAGAGCAGCTTACAATCTCCTTTCCCTTACCCTCCCCACAACAGACACCCTGTGAGGCAGGTGGGGCTGAGAGAGCTCTGAGAGAACTGCTCCTGAGAGGACAGCTCTGACAGAACGTGTAAGTGACCCAAGCTGCATGTGGAGGAGCGGGGTCTCATACCCGGTTCTCCCAGATTAGAGTCCGCGCTCCTAACCAATATACCAAACTAGCTTCAAAGCTTTTCCATCCCAGTGTCTCTCTGTCTTTACATGTAATGTCAATTTCAATTTTAAGTTGTTTTTCTTCTGCAATCATAAAGCCTCCTTTTGCTAGACTAATGAGCTAATATATATATATATATATATGAGGGGTGTTATGTATGGACAGGAGGTTATGCATTTACATGCACTTGCCTAGGATACGGTTCTATATGATATTAGGCTGGAGCTTCAGGCACAAGCTCCACAGGCACCAAGGTAATGTAAACCTGGCTGTCGGATTGGTCCCTGTGTGAGACAGACCAATCCAGGGGACTCTGATTCTGGCAGGAACGAATCCCATTGGTCCCAAGCCGGCAAAGGTGATTTATTACATTCTTACACTGTAATGCTGCAAGTAGGCCTGAGCTTCTGACAGCCAGTGCACGTCCTGATTAGCTGCTTTGCACAGTGGGCCAATCAGAGCATAGGAATGGTTCTGTAGGGAACAACACCCATTGGCTGTTATGTACACATTGTGATTGGTTGTTAGCTGTTTTGGGGGGCGTGGTTTGGACCATTCAAATCATATATAAGTCAGTTTGGGTTCTACGTCTTTTGGTCTTGAAGTCTCTGTCTATTCTTGCAGTTCTATGAGCCGAATAAAATGGAATCACTTGATTAAGAGCTGCCTCAATCTCAGTTCATAATAAGGGGAAAATGGGGGTTGTACTCCGATGAAGGGGGAAGGATGGCGGAAGGTGCCGGGTGGGCAAAAGGACCTCAATGTGGTCAACGGACATGCACATGTGAGAGTGACGGGAATGCAGAGCGATAACAAAAACCCAATGGACATGTATCGTGAAAGTGAGGCAAAACACCAGTGCATAATAGGCTACAATCAAAAGTAGTCCATAGTAGGCCACCAACTAGGACCAGGGTCAAGCGGGTCGACCACAGGAATCAAGTCATAAAAGAGCTCAGGATTGGGGTTAAACCTGTTGTTGAAAACACCACAGGGACTCCTGTGATATTTACCATCCTTTTATCTTTTAAGATTACTAAATGACAGGTGAGCTTGTGAGAAAACCAAACCTTATCGTCTGATATTTGCAGGAAATCAAAGAATGGGATGCTGGCCGATGTCTTACCACTCCAATCCACTAAGTTTGGAGCCTTTCTCTATCCTAAATAGCCTTAAGTGACTAATCCTCCAGAGGAATGCAGGGTTAAAACTTGGCTGAGCAGTGTGGAAGGATACACACTGCCATTCTGCAGTGCCTTTGGAATTGGCCCGTAGCTACAGTGGGGCTACTGGGGGCTCTAACACCTTCCTTAAAGGCCCCCCTTTTCTTAAGGACCCCGCACGTGCCCCTCTCCTTCCCCTTCTGCAAGACTTAAAGGGCCCTTCAGCTGATCGGTGGGCCACGTGCTCCCTGCTGATCAGCTGAAGGCCCCTTTAAATCTTGTAGGAGGGGCGGTCGAGGGATGCGCACCACCCTCCTTCATTATGGCAAATAATGGCAGCCCCACCCAAAAATATTTTTGCCCCACAAGCCACAAAAACTGAAACCCAGCAGGATCGAAGGCAACATGCTTGAGAATCTCACATCCACATGCAAGGTTGGTGTCAAGGGTTGGCGTGACAACGCAAGGCTCTTGGCCTGCCCCTCTCACCAGATTGCATCAAAATTCCCAGCAATGACACTGGGGTCTCTGTGGAAATCTGTTCCCTTGGGGAGTTGTGCCTGGAAGAGAGAAATGGTGTGTGGCTCTTTCACGCTCCTCTAAGGCCCCCCCCCCTGTTAGTGTTCTTTTGAGCAGCAAAATAAAAGGAGGGGGGAAGGAGAAAAAACGTCAACCCAGGAAAACCAGGTAACCAAAAGAAGCTGCCCCCCCCAGAAAAGCCTAATAACACGATAAATTCTAATGGGTTACAATATGACAAATTAGCAAAGCTTTAATGAATTACAGGCAATAAATAATTTAAAAAATCCCATTAAAACCAAACGCATTTCAGCCGCAAGGCCTTCCTCAGCTAAATTATTAAAATACACACCATAAAGTAGAAGTATTCAAAACACAACCTACAACATCTCTGACCTAAGCTTTAAAATCTGAAAAAAGAGGAAATGGGGTGGGGGGTGGGGAGAAAAAGGATCATTTGGATTAACTATTGAGTGAGACACGTATAGCTCCCACTCTGGACATATTTCGTGGCTTCCGGTATTTAGACTAGATCAGGATGTTTTGTTTTGTTTAAAGTGAGGGGGATGAATTCTGATTCGGGGAAGATGTCTGGAATATGAAGCCCCCCTTAACTTGAAAAGCCCCACCCGGTTTTAAGTCGGGGCCACTTCCCTTCAAATCCAGATCCAGCTCAAAATATAGCTCCACATCATTCACCCGTACTAACCAGTACTTTCTGCCAGTTCCGTTCCTTTCCAAGCCGAAAAAAGATAGAAAAGAAATTTGTCAAGGGGAAGGGGCTAGCCAGTGAAAGGAAGGTCACTGGGCAACCAGTGGCGATTCCAAAACACTGGAGATATCTTACGCAGGGGCAGATGGGGAAGTCAAGATGGCCCCAGAGGAAGTCAGACTGTAGGGCAGGCCTGTAGCTAGGATCCCCCCCCCCCCGGTGCATGATACAG